AGTATTAGAGTTTAATAGTTGCCAGTGACTTTCGATACTTGGCTTGTCGAGTATATCAAAGTAAATATTTAAGTGTGCTTAGAATACATAGAATCCTTTCTTCTTACACAGACACGGTTCTTAGATCTCAAAAGTGTTCCACAATCATGTAGAATATATATACATATATATATTTATCTTTATTCTAAATGTTACTATTGAAATTGGCAGTGTGTGGGTATGAGGGAAAATAATTTTAAGTTAACGTGAATATAAAGAGTTAAAGTTTAAAGCAAAAAAGCCCCTAAAGTTAGTAGAACGTCTTTAAGGAAAAGCAAATTATGGCATTTTAATGACAAATATTAAAACTGGCATTTGGACAAATCTTGATAGAGTAAGTTTTTTGGTAGTGGGTTGTTATGTTCCTCGGTGGCTTGTAATAATATATTAAGTGCTCAGTTAAACAAAATCCAGAAGTTTGTAGAAATCATATAAGGCAATTAAAACCCTGCAGCCCTGGGGCTGTGCCCTTTTAAGGCAGCTTTGCAGAAGTGGTACCACGTAGCACATCCTGTTGCCATGTTACTAGTTAGTCTGTTTGTTACCCACTGGAGTGTTGGTTCCTGCTGTGCGTTAGGGATGAACCTGTGCTTTAGATGGGGCTCTGCCTGAAATCCGTGCTGGTAATAAGCTTGGTCAATATGCAGGGAGTTCTACCTCAACATAAGGAAGAATTTCTTTACTGTAAGGGTTATTATGGAGCACTGGAACAGGCTGCGCAGAGAGGTTGTGGTCTCCTTCTCTTGGAGACTTTCAAGACCCATCTGGGTGTGTTACCGTGTGACCTGTCCTGGATGCTGGGTGGTCCTGCTCTGGCAGGGGGGTTGGGCTCAGCGTTCCCCAGAGTCCCTGCAACCCCTGACGTTCTGTGATGCTGCATGCGAGTGAATTAGGGATCTGAAGAGGGCTCTGTTACAAAGATTGTTTCATCTTGGATAGATCAGGAGGGGTCAGGAGATGGAACTGTCAGTCTTAGAAAAAAAAGGGGAAGCTTTTCTCGCATCCAAATGTCAGTGTTTTCCACTCCATTTACTTACCAAATCTGTGGGGAAGTCCTGGTTTCTTGAACAATAGAGAGGAGTCTCAATGCTCAGTGAGCCCCTGGGACAGTGCTCAGCCCCTGAAGCTCTCTCTCTAGCTTTTGTTCCAGGCTGCACTGTTAGCATCTGTGGAAGCTGCATTTCATGTCTTGCTTTGTCTGTGGGGCCCAGTTTCTTGTGCTTACCTTGATGCCAGTTTTTGCCCAATGAACACACATCTGAAAGTTTAGTTATGTTGATGCTTCTTTGCACAGCATAGATCCCCAAACACCTTTCGGATGCCTGTACTTATTTATCGTGGACACTTTGTAGCCAAACAGTGTTTTGTGTGACTGTAGTGTTGACATCTTCTAAGCTGACTATGGCTAAACTGTTAGGAGGCATTGATGCACATTGGTGAAAATGGATGCACACTGGAGAAAACAGCAAAAAGGTGCACAGGGTATGTTTGGCAGTGTGAGCAGTTTCTTGGGATCTGTATAAATGGAAATAAATGTTGGCCTTCTTAGGACACTTGCATGGTTCTGATCGCAGTAGCTGTTGTCCTTCCTGGCACTGCATGCGTAGACCCTGCTGTAACCTGATGGATGTCTGTGGTATCTTGCTAGCATAAGTGGGAAGCTGTGGTGTGGCTTGAAAAAGCAAATCTGCTGCATATCTCAGAGAGGAAATTAAAGGAAAATGTTCTCATTTTTTTGAGGGCATTGACAGAAAATTGCAAAGCCCTGAAGACCTATGATGCTCTGATTCTCTGTCAGCTTAAGCTTGCTCTCTAAAACTAACAAACCCCTCCTCCTGCCCTCCCCACATTTTTTTTTGTTTGAGATTAGCTCCTTTTATTTGTGTTTAGAATGTACCAAGGTTGTAGTTGCTGTTCACTTTCCTTCAAATGTGGAGGCTTTTTATCTGTTCAAGACTGAAATCTCAGATTATCCCATAGCCGTGTGTCTCCAGGCTACTGGGGCTTACAAAGTGCTGCAACATTCCTGATAAACTTGAGAACAGGCCATGATAGCACAAAGGATTTACAGGTCTCCTAATAACTTTGTAAAAACTTATTTTACTTTTTAGACCACCATGAATGTGGAACATGAAATTAGCCTCCTAGTTGAGGAGATTCGGCGGCTGGGAACCAAAAGTAAGTATTGTAATATATCTGACTGTACAGATGTAGTCATGTTATGCATACACCCATGTGTATGACAGTCATGTCATACAGATCTTGTCATGTTGTAGCAACCTGTGAACTTAGCAAATGTAGTTAAACAGGCTCAGGTAACTTGAAAACTTGTGTGTATACTGTATGTTGGACTGTATGGTACTCCCTGCCTCTCATTCTTTCAAGTAGTCCTGTTGTGAAGTGAAACATTTAAACCTCTGCAGCACAGAGGATGTAGGCCTGAAATCCTGCTCCCACTAAAATAAACTCCAAAATTACCCTTTTCTTTAGACTTCAAATACTTGCTACAGCTGCCAAAGAATAAAGTTGTACCTTTTCCTTCCACCTCCCTCCTTGGTAACTTATGAACTTCAGAACTTCAGAATTCTGTTAATCGCAGTCCTATATGGAAGGAATTGATCTGTGTGCCAAAACTAATCCAGGACTTACTGGTGAGGTCCCAGCTTTTCTTAAACTTCCTTAGAAGGTAGCCTTTTCTCTAAAGATTGTTTTTCATTGTTAAAGCTCTTCTTTCTTTACAAATATTTAAGTAATTTGTAGATATTTTTTTTTACCTGCTCCTGTACTTCAGTTCTGATGCCATTTCATTCAATTCCATTTGTTTTTCAAAGCCTAAATAGATATGTACATCTTGCATTTTGTATGACTGCATCTGCCTTTAAAGTATAGTTAACCTGAGTTAACCTTAACATATATTTTAAATTTTTGCTTTGTGTGAGAAATGAATTCACATTATACCTTTTTCAGTGTGAACCTTAAATATTAATAAGTGAAAAAAAAAATTGAAAAAATATTTTAACATTTTAATTATTTAAAACTAATTTCCTCCTTATTCTTTGAAGAGATTCTATAGCTTGTGCCAGTCATAGGGTTCGTAGACTCATCAGTTAAAATAAACACAGCAGATATGTGTTTATTGGTAAGAGTCTCTGGAAAAAAAAGGGAAAGTCATACCAGACAGGAGATTTGCCTACTGGTTATCATCATAATTCATAATATATTCCCCAATAAACTGGGAACTACCATGGGGTTTACTTTCAATGTTCTGATTGCATATCACTTTATTTCCCCAGCAAGCTCCCAACTGAAAGAAAATCTGTATGTGTTTTCATGTTGTATCTTTGATTTAGATGCTGATGGACAAGTGAGTGTGAAATTTGGTGTGCTCTTTGCTGATGAAAAGTGTGCCAACCTCTTTGAAGCCCTAGTGGGAACTCTTAAGGCTGCAAAACGACGGAAGATTGTCAATTATCAAGGGGAGCTTCTTTTACAAGGTGTTCATGACAATGTTGATATCATGCTCCTGCAGGACTGATGCAGCATTAATAGAAGTGTTTGAGATTGACTTGCAACATTCTCTGAATATGGCTCATCATTCCAAGGTGTTTTGATGTATTTTCTATATCTTTATAGTCAAAACAAAACTGTGCTATTTTGGAAAACATTCTCTTTTGTAATTCTTCCTCAAATGGTACTGTATGTAATGTAGAAGTTGCCAGATCTGATCTCTCTCTTTTTTTTTTAACTTTAAAAAACTCAGGTAATTCTCTCAAATTTCTGATGGTTATTTTCAACATATGAAGAATGGGGCTGGTAATATAATGTTTACAAATTAAAATGTGCCATGAAAGAAAGTAAAAGCACATACTTTAAATGTGTATAGCTCTTATTGCTGTTGTTTCTCTTTTTATTAGCAATCTGAAACAAAAGCAAACTGAATTTCCATGAGGAGCATAGTTAAGGAACTATAGAAAGCATGCCACTGAGATAGAAATTATTTTGTAGCATGATTCAACTGAAGAATGACTGTCCTTTGGAGTGACCAGATTGTGCACAAAAAAAGCCCTGAATGATGTACCTCATTCATCTCTGGCAGTGTAATATGCTGTAATTTTTTGGTCCTCTAGACTTTTGAAGGAAGTGGGTGAGGAGCTCCCTGAATGCTTTCATGTGATGTTAAACAGAAGATGGCACAGCCGGTTTGATTATTCTCCTCACAGATATCATACTTTCTCTAAATCACTCCAGGCAAAAAGTGGTTGGAGCGCAGAAAAAAAAAGCCCTTTTGATTGTTTTCTAGCTTAGTGCTAATACTTCATAGCTGGCAAAAATACTCCCCCTGGAAAGGAGAGAGCTGCTACATGGGAAGGCAGCACTGCTTACTGCCCTGTGTTTCTGCTCTGCAGCTCTTAAAGTTGTAGGATGGGTGGTTTTCCCTCTACTTTTTGTGGCCTTTTCCGACTGCAAAATGCATGAAAAATCTCGCCTTGCTTCCAGATACAGGAAATGCACACACAGTTATGGAATCTTTCCAAAGCTGTATAATTCCAGCTGCTTCCCCTTTCATCTTTCTTCGCTCTGCTTCGCACAACAGGAAGACAAATTGAATCCCGTGTGCAAACAGATTTGGGCTGCCTGTGCAGGCCCCAGAAGCTAGAGAGCAAGGAAGCGAAACACAGAGAAACTTGAGCTGTCGGGGTCCAAGCCAGATGAAGCAGAGCAGGAGCTCAGCAGAGATTACTGCCTCTGGTGCCCTGTCGCTCCAATGCAGCTATTCTGCTCCCAGACCTGAGCTGGGCAGTGCCTGCACCCCTGCAACCCACAGGTGGAAAGAAGGGGCACTGAGTCCAAGCCTCCTGCGTTGGGAGACCAGACAGCTCTGTGTTACCAGATAACCACAGTTGTTTTTTTCCATTGCCTCTATTCTGTCAAAAGCCTGAGTCATTGTCTGGCTTCACAGGATAGCCTGAGTATGCTCGCAGATACCAAGAACTTTGTGATCTGAGATGCCAGTGTTTGGTCTGGGAGGGCACCAGCCTGCCCCAGCCAGGATATAGTTCTCTGTGCATGTTCACAATGGCTCTTCTAGCATCGAAAGGGCCTCAGTCTTGAAAATTTAGGTACCACTAAATTAGATGAGATTATGAAGAGACCTTCGTGTCTCATTTTGGGCTTGTTCTCTTAACAATGCTAATGAATGTATTCAGAGCTTCTGGGAACACTGTGTAGCAAGAGACAGAGAAACTTGGCACTTAACCAAATCTGTAACACCAGAGGACAGTGTGACACTCACACCCAGGGGAGCTGAGGTTCATTTTCCCTCTGCTTCTGAGAGCAGAAGAGGAACAACATGAACAAGGATGTAAAACCAAGAACTTGCCTTCAGTGTGACACTTAAGATGCCTCCTGGCCCTGGAATACTGTAGGCTTCTTCACTTTAAGTTATATATGAGCAATGATGACTTTGTAATTTATTTTTTTTTGAGAGAAGATTAAATACTAACATTGCCTCACGTGCATGGGATCATGCCTCTGTGACAGCAGTAGTTACTACAGGAAATGGTTAGGACACAAGATGTAGTTCCTGGAACATCTGATATGATAATAGAGAAGCTAGCTATGGACAAGGCATTACCTATTCTTGTAAACAGTAGAACAATCATCAGTCCCATGTGATGAGTTCATGACCTTGCCCACCATGGGTCTGAAGGAAGTTTGTAGGTCAGCCAATGATTCCAAAATAGCAATTCCTTTTGCCTGTTGAGAAGTAGGAAGATACAGAGATCTTGAACAGCAGCATAAAAACGTGGTCAGTGGATAGCTGCCTGTGATAATGCTGGGAAATTAGTGAAAGAGTAGTTTAGCTAATTCAGTCTCCACCTATGTAAGATCTGAGAGCATGGTGGGACCTCAAAGAGAGGTTAGATGAGCTCCATGCAAATCTAGCTGGTACCATTTAAGATGTTACCACTGTATGTCTTCAGCAGGGACTGTTGGAGTAACTGATGCAGTGGAGTGTGTGTACTCACCTCACCTCAGCTCTTTCCATGCAAAATCCAGTGTTTGGAGTTAAACGTGCTTTTCAAAGTGGTTTTGACTAAGTTGTGAAGGCGCAGAGGTGCCTTGTGTAACTTCTGGTGAGAAGTGGTAGCATCTTAAACTTTGCAGCAGCATTAGTTTTTGCTGGGAACTTGAGCAAAGGAGGGGTTGAACTGGATGCGATATCTTTTTTATGCCTCTCTCATGTTGGAATGAATCTTGAAAATGCATGTTGTGTTTTGCTTATCTCTCATATCCTCCAAACTTTGCTGGAGGTGTTCTTTCTGCTTTAAGGGATTTCTCTCAGTGACAGCCATGTCACTTTTGCCATTCATATCTGTGTGAAGCTGGTTATCTTTACTTAGTTTCTTTGTCACAAAAAACACTTCAAGGAAAGAGAAAGAGGAGCAGGAAGTGCCAAAAACTGATTATATTATCATTGATACTTGGCAGTTTTATTTTAAAATAGTCGGATGATTCAGAAGTAGTCTGAGATTATCTTCTACTCCAACAGCACAAAGTGACTATTAAGCATGTTTTAACAGTTGCAGAGCCTTTGCTAAGATGATGCAGCATGAACCTGTGAGTGCCATAGGGCTGACCCTATGGCCCCATATCAAAACACTAACCATTAATGATATCTTTGTGTCTCCTCCACCTAGTATAAAAGAACAGTCCTCAAGGTTTGGTCTATACCCTGCAACAAAATTCATGTTTAGTAGTGCCTGAAAATCTCGTCTGATAATTGTATGATGGGAATCATGGTTTCATGGACTTAAAAAAAGCAAAAAAGCCCAACATGTGTTTCTTTTGGAAGCTGGCCAAGTCAGTAATTTTGAAAAAGTCCTGTTCTTGTTCATATTCTTCTCAAACAAATACGGGATGTTTGGTCTGCAATGGATCTTTTTTTCTGATATGTAAGAAAACAATTAATTCCAAAGCCAGCTGCAAAGGGTAGAACTAAATATGAACAAAGTAATTTGAAGGAAAAGCAACCCCTAGGCCAAAAAATATATTTCAGTGCTCAGACAGCTGTTTGGAACAGGTGATCTGGCTAGGTTGAAGAATATGAGTTTGGTGATATGTGATGTGTTTAAGCCTGAATATCTTTCAGGATAAAAGTTAGCGTGACATACTTTGTTTTGCAACCCAAAAGATGATGATGTATGTCAAAATACTCTGGTTTTTTTATACTTGCCTATAGATCAGAAAATTTTCCCTTTGGAAACTGTCCATTAAGCTTATGAAAAAGACTCAACCTGTCCCCTTTGGTGTATTTATTATGTACCAGAAAAAAAGGCAAGGACAAAAAACAGCTTATTGCTCTCCAATACATGCAGACAGGATCCAAGTTGAGTCTGTTAACGTTACAGGTGATGCTAAAAACAATGATCTGCATTTACTCAAAGGTCCAGCACTCATACCAACTTAGATTTCCTAAGGATTTTATTTGCAAGGCAAGATATCTTCAGCTTTTTAAGCTGATTTCTCAAATAAAATTAATGGCAGATTGAAGAGCTGTGCCAGTGCAATGTTTTCCAGGAATCTGTATGGTCAATATTTCCAGGTACTCCTTTAAAAAAAAAAAAAAAAAAAAGAAAAGAAAAAAGGGTTAGTTAAGGACAAGTGCTTGACAGTGTTTCTGGAAAGCTGGTGTATTTAAAATCTAGTTACATAAACTGCTCAATATGAAATTGTTCTCATAAAATTTTCCTGAGGGTGGCAGTTCAGTTTAGTTCTGCTGCTCTGAGTACAGCGTTAGCCACAAATACACTGTAGTTGCATATTTAAGCAGCTGAAGTGAGTCTCCTGGCAGGTATTTTGAATAACACACCAGAAGCAGCATTATCTTGCAGTGTAGCCTAGATGTCATTGCAGATTATGCTTATCTCTGCCAGGACACTTGAGCAACTCAGGGGGGTTAAATAGAGGCTGGTACCTAAGGAGTGGGTAGTGTGATCTACAAACACGCTCCAGAGTCTTGTCAGATCAGATCCAGATCAAACCTCCTTTCAGAGAAATGCTTAGAGTCAGACCTGAGCATGTTCCAGTACCACATATTCACAAATATAGCAACATTCTGTCCATGACCTTGCTCCCTTTTGGAGCTTATTCCTGCACAACCCCCACAAGCTGAGTGACGCTACGAGTCTTAAGGCCACCTCATCATGCTTGAAGCTGTGCTCCAGAGAGGACAGTAGTAGGTACCACGTATTTGTATATGCGTATTCTGCTAACATATTGGTACAACATGTACTCAAAATCTGACGGTTTTTGCCAGTGGGGAAATACTCAGTAAATTACAATTATGTTTGAATGGGAATATAGTGAGCAGCATTTTCTGGTCTTTGCTAAGTCTTCTAAATGCCACAGAAGATCACATTAGAATAATTGAGATTATATATCTTGCAGAATTAGATCTTTCGTGAAGCTTTGATGGCAGAAGACATATTATTACCAGGTCTTTATTAGTCAAGAGGCTTTGGTATGTCTCTC